CTCCCAGCTCATGTTTCACAGTGATTCATTTCACCGAATACATAGTGTGGGAAAGCACTGTGACATAGTTGCATATTTCAAATCACTGTGCCAGAGCTATCAATAACAATGATCTCTACACTATTCCTTTAACCCATGTGTTCTGCCATAGTTGGCCTGTTTCATTGGTGCAGGTGTAAAATCTGTGTTGCCCTTAGCAGCTGATATCCTTGATTTACACAAAATATCCCATCAGAATGGCCTACACAGTCAAAAAACAGGCATCTTCTTTGTCAGTCAATCAGAGCTGAGCAGTCTCAGTAACCCCAGTGGTCTCAACACAATATTCCATAATTAAGTTTATGACTGCATGACCCACTCCTTTAGACCAAAAAAAAAAAAAAAGTGTGTAGGTATGCCACATACAAATTCTGCAACAGATTACTATTAAACATCTGAAGCAAGGTTTGGCAAGTGTGACCAAATCACTTGAAAATTGTAAGATCAGAGGGCTGAAACTTCATCATACCTATTATGTAAAGCCACTGGAAAGAAACTTAGGCATTTTTCTAAGCAGGCAAAGTACTTTTTTCATGAAACAAAAAAAAGGAAAAATTTCCCTATTGTGTGGGGGCTCCTATTCAGAATCAATGATTTTTTTATTGTCAGTGGAGGTAAGCTTGTTTGCACAGCTGTCATTTTGTAAAACAGAAATCTGAATGGTACTAGGAAAATACATCCATCAGCAATACAACAGACCTTGAAGAAGAATTGCATGATGTTTACATCTGATCATCCTTGGCAGTAACTCTGCAAGTGCTAACCAGGCAAGAACATAACTAAGAGCCAAAGCTATTTAATTTTGTTTCAGTGTATTTATAGAAATGTACCCAGCAAGGCACACTGTCACCCTTCCGTTGAGCTTGTGCCAGTTTATGACCAATAGCAAGTATTCAAAGAGGGAAAAAAGAGAGGCAGGGATTTATTTATAATGACTCTTTGTATCAAGCAAGCTACATTATGAACAGACGACGAACATTACATTTCAGTAATACATGTAGAAACGGACCTTAAAATAGAATTCCTTACCACAGTGAAATCTTCCTAAATGATTCACTCATGATCTTGAACTTTGCAATGATGCATGATAATTCCCTAGAGCTGAGAGTTCAAGGAATAAAGTCACAATATATCTTTAGAAATGACAGTACGGAAGTATTGAACCTAAATCAAAATAGTCTTTTAATAGACAGAAAAAACAATCACCCTGAGTAGATAAAGGCAAAACCAGAAAACAATTGCTATGTTACTCTAACAATACATAGCAAAACCATGTGCATTTTACAGATCTGACTTGTGTCCCATGGCAGTGCTAAATTAAAAGTTTACAGTACCCTCAGCAGCCCTTTTTTGGGATTTCCGGCTCAATCTATAGTCTGGCCAGGCTAAGACCATACCTTCACAGTGAGCATGCCTCAGAAGAACTCCTCGTTTCCATGTAGCTGCTTTCGGAAAGACTAAGTGAGCTGAGCCTGGAGAAGAGTGAGAGGGGATCTTATGAACATGTACAAACATGTGAGGGGAGACTGTAAAGAGGATGGTGCCAAACTCTTCTCCGTGGTGGCGGTGACAGGACAAGGGGCAATGGGTACCAGTTGAAACACAGGCAGTTCCATCTCCATGTGAGGAAGAACTTCTTTCCTGTGAGGGTGACAGAGCCCTGGAACAGGCTGCCCAGAGAGGTTGTGGAGTCTCCTTCTCTGGAGATCTTCCAAACCTGCCTGGATGCCACCCTGTGCCACGTGCTCTGGGTGTCCCTACTGGAGCAAGCGGTTGGACTAGATGATCTCTAGAGGTCAATGCCAACCTCAATCATTCTGTTATGCTGTGAAATCCAGACGATGTGGAGGCATTAAATCAGTATTAAAGCAGTTACTCAGCCCTTCTTAATAAAGGATCAACAGCAACTGCAGGGTTATTACAGAGCCTGACTACATGAGCTTTACTGGTAACATCTGAGTCCAAGATTCTTATTTCCCTCAGTGTTTGGGCTGCAGTGCCCAGAGATGTGTGAACTGTGTTTGAAATGTGTTACATAAATCAAGGGAACCACACAGCGATTCTGCCTGGAAGAAGTTCACTGACCTTACAGCTCTGGATCCCTTCTTGTGACTCTTTAAACATTAAATCACATAGATCCTCTTAAATATGAGTAAAAACATCTTCAGCTAAATCTGAATGCTCAAAAAATGTTTTCCTTGAAAACCTTAGTATCTCTAAATCCTTCAGGATATATTAGCTTTGGTTTGTGACATACTTAGTAATGGAAACACAAGTGCACAGAAAAGTATGTGGTATTTCTCCATTTCTTAGTTGCTGTGAACGAATAAACACAGAAGTGTACTATGATAATTAATTCTCAACATTTTTTTTGAAAACCTGTATTCACAGATAAACCTTCCGACTTAGATGGCTCCAAAGTTCTCTGTAGTGGGTTACAAACATTAATTAAAACTCTGATTGTTTGGAAATCAATGTCAATAATCTGAAAAACACCCCTTCTATCTTCTGCACAGATGTTCCTCAGATAGTGTACATATGTATCTAAACATGTGCTTACACCAAGATACTCAATTTTGCCTTGTATAAACATTATGCAAGTGTTTTATGTTTTATACTCCTTTTTTAACCAGACCTTCTGTTTTCTGTGCTTAGTAGGTTGATGCATCATAGGATATCTTCTGAAACATAAGACATTTTCAATACTTAAAACACGTTCTACTGATTCTGTTCCAAATCTCATTAATGGTCATTTCACCAGCTGAATTACCACTGATAATTTTATTTGTTGAAAATACATCAATCAGCTGTGGTAAAAAGAAAAAAAAAAAGCTGTCATTGGCATTATTTTCTTATACTTCAAAATACTATTAGCTGATATTGTGCTGAAAAACATCTCAGGACTTACTGAATGCCAAAAAAAAAAAAAAAAACCTCAGGACTTATTGAAAGCAAAAAAAAAAAAAAAAAAAAAAAAAAAAAGTGTTCCGTTTGAAGTGCCAAGTATTCATATTGTACCTGAATGTAAATTGTACAGAAAGAGTCTGAAATCTATAACAATATGCTGTTGCTATTTTCACCAGAGTAAATACTGTAAATTTAACACAACAGTTTGCCTAGCAAAAGACAAAGTTAATTAAATACAGCACTTGACAATTGAGCTTTAAGCACAAAAAATATCTGCTATAAAAGAAGGAATACAAAGCATAAAATAAGCTGACAGGTATAGCCAAAGAAAGCAGAACATGAGCATTTGCCAATTGTTACCACTGGGTTTCCACAGCTATCACAAAAATCTATTTCCTTTCTAGCATAAAGGAAAACTTGAGTGAGCCTCCAATAGTGTTGTGTGCCAACTGCTGGCAAATGTTACTAATTTTATCTTAACCATTAGTTGCATTTCAGCATCAATTTTGGGCTATAAGGAGAAAGTTATTGTATGCAACCCTTCCGAACAGGTAGGATAGGCAGCTAAGGGTGCTACTAATGCAATGCATTCTCCAGCCTTACTGGATCCCACATCATATTTCTCCTACTAGAAATGTTCTGGACACTTGCATTACTCTTTCTTCTGTGCTCTTTCATTGTTTCTGCCCACTCTCTTAATACAATGGTCTCTCCTCACTCTTCTCCTGATGTTTGTTTCATTTTTTTTCTATTTTACTCTAGAAAAAGTTACTTTTCTGGCCCCTAATAATTCTTTCTTTCTTCCTCCTTTATCATGAGTAAGGACTCATGATAAAGCTGGTAAGAGGAACCCCTGAAGGGGAACTGGTTTTAACCGTAAATCAGATCCCATAGATCCAGAGATCAGAAAAGAGAATATAACATAACAGAAAAGAAAATACTCAAAGGCAGAGACTACAGGTTCAGGCTCTGGTGTGACAAAAGCGAGGATAAAAAGAGTCTTCCCAAGTGCGGTGACATAACTAGCTGGTCCTCAGAAACATGTTCTCTATCAGTCCCTTTAAACTCAATACCAAGATCTGGGAAAATATCTGTTCTTCTTGAACAAGATTGGCACTATAAAGTACAAAAAGTGAGAGAAAAAGATATTTTCAGCAGTTGCTTCTAGAATATATATATTCATTATTTGCTTTGGTTAAGCTGAGGAATGGAAACAAGGTCAGTGAGGCTGTCTTCTGTCATGCTAAATGCACATTGAGTAAGCTAATCATCATTCAAAATATATTGTTATATTAATTTACATATGGGGCAAATCAAGAATTTAAACTACAGAGATTATAAAGGGCTCGCTGGAGTCCAAAAATAAGTCCAACATAGGGTTTATTGACTCAATGGTTCCTGTATGTGTTTACATATGGGAGAAGATGACTTGCAGTGAAGCAAAACAGCATGAAAAGAAACATGGCTTTTGGGGTTGAGTGATCACTGGTAGAGCCTGTAAGCACAGAAATCCTGTCACGTACTTTACTCCTACCTACATAGGGAAACTGAGCTTTGGGGTGTGTGTTTTCTGTAATGACCAAGAAACAAATGACCACTTTAAAAAACACCAAACTTTCTCAGTTTCTCATGGCAACATTAAGCAAGATCCTAACATCTCCTCAAGTGAGAAAGGCTTGACATGATGCAAGTCTATTTCTGGATAAAATGCCATATATTCTGCAGCATTGAACCGTTCTTTCCCCATGCAGGGTTCATGAAAGTTCGGACCCTGTTGGTACCTACTGTGTGCTTCATGAAGGTCTATTCCATGACTTTTGGAGTTTATATTAAAAGTTTAGAAAATTTATTTAGAAAATAAAATCTCTTCTAACATTATCTGTTGGTAGACATCAAGTTAAAGAATACTCTTCCTTTCTATCTAGGTGAAAAGATAAAGCAGTCATTCCTTCAGATAAACTAGTAGAAATAAAGGCAGAATTAAAACGACTCTGCATTTTCAGGACTAAACCCAAGTTTCTGCTTTGCTGACAGGAGAGAGAATTCAGACTTACTGTGCATTTGTTCGGCTTCTCTCCTGAGTGGACTCTCATGTGAATCAGCAGCTTGTAGCGGGCATTGAATGGCTTGTACCTCCGCGGGCATCCTGCCCAGAAGCACGTGAAATCCTCTCCCTTCCTCTGGTCTATGTGGATCTTCTCTATGTGCCGCACAAGGTCCTCTTGATGGTCATACAGCGCACTGCACTCAACCCAACGGCAGTAGTGCTTGCCACTCACATCATCCAGATCACCGTCCTCATCTAGCAGTGCTCCTGGGGTGGCAGCCGAGGCCGCAGGGTGTGGGAGGCCAAGGAGGTTGTGTGGACGCCGGTGCTGATGTGCATGATATGGGGGTGGCGGGCCCTGCGGTGGTAAAAGAAGTGGGAGAGGAGGCACCTCAGCTGCCTGGCCAGAGAAATCATCTTGCCATTCACTTTTCAAGGCACCTGCAGGCTGACTGTCCGTGGGAGGCGCGCTGTGCTGCACCGCCATGTTGCTCAAGGCTGCCAACGGCAGGGTCGCTTGCTCCAGTTGCTGCATTCGCTGGTACTCAGCAGCACCACTCTCAGAGTAGCCTGGAAGGGTGATGTTTCCGTTAGCCACAAGAAGGCCTTTGTGGGTGTTGGGAATGGAGCAAGCTTGGGCAATGCAGCTCCCCCTCACCCCCAGAAAATGTCCATAGACTTCAGGTTGTGGGGAGATGCTAGCTGGTGATGTCCTAGAGCCGTTGATGTAGGCAACCAGAGAGGTTGGGGACGTGCGGATGATGGTGTTGAAATCGAACCCAATGCCATCAGAGAGAGGGGAGAGAGAGAGTGCCCTCTTCTTGGAGCGGGAGGACTGCGGCCGGCTTGAGGAGTGGCGAGGGCTCAGGTAAGGGGAATGGCTGTTTTCTACACCAAGCAAGTAGGACGGCAATGAATTAGAGACACTGTTACTGGGCATGGATGTTCTGGGTGGAAAATTCAGCAGGTCCTCTAGCTCATTGCCATTTTGAGAATCTTGGTGGGGTGGAAGGGAAGGGAGTATCCAGTAGCCACGTGACCACTCTTGCTTCACACTCAGAGTTGACTGACTTTCCAACAAGCTCAGCGGCAGCTCACATGACATGAGGGACCTACAACAAAGGCGTGATAAGCAAGTCAGTGATGAGACACCTTAGCAGTTCAAAGTTCATAGAGCTGTACGATGTTTCTTTCCACTGTCGCATAATAACAGGGGGGCCACATGTGAGAAAAGTTTGCCCTGATTTTACATATTAAAATGTTTCTGTGCTCACTTAGCAGCCACACACAGGCAGTACGCATGTAAGAAGGACACTTAGGAAACCAACTCAAAAACTTCAAGATTCTTGAAGAAAAGCTCCTGCTGTGAAGCTTCTTGATACACTACTACAATAATCAGGGCTTCTGAGGGCAAAACATCAACATTCCCACCTTGCATGGCACTCACATTGCTTTGGCAAGACTGTCTACTATTTTCGGTGTTAAACGCAAAGGAAGGAAAATGATTAATGAAGAATAAATGTTTAACCTAAATCACACTACCAATTGTGATGCACACAAATAGTTCCGGATTATTAATTACAGATAATCTAACTTTAAAAAAAAATATATAATGCAGAAGAACTGGCTGAAGGTATTTATTTAGTTTTTTTTTTATGAAATATCTACCTCCAAGTCAGTAGTTCAAATAAAAAAAAAAACTGAATGTTATTATTGGCTATTCCTAGAAATTTTAGGAAACTTAGCTCCAAAGAAGCTTATACAAATGTCTAATGTGCAGCTTAACAAAAGGACTCAGCTCACCACAGCACTGGTTTCTACAAAAAAAGGTAGAGAATAGGAAATGCATGAAACCTAGGGTCCCTGGTTCATGGCTTCAAAAGAGGTAAAGGTAAAGGGCACATTATTCTATGTGGTTAATATATAGACCATATAAATATATAAACCATATCTATGTTATGTATAAACATATATATTTGTTGATATATGTTATATATGTTTTATACACATATGTGTGTTTGCATGTGATGTATGTATTAAATAAGTTATATATATATATTATATTCTCTTTATGTTTCAATTATGTATTGTGGCAGACTTGGACTTCCTACCAGGCAGAGGCAGGGATATTAATTAATATTTCTGAGGGCTGCAAACAGTGACAAGAACCAGACTCATATCCGGGTATACCTGAAGTTTGCACAGCCATGGAAGTAGCTGCAGATTATGCTCTGGGGTTAATTCTTGGATTCTCTATGTTTATAAACTTTTAAAGAAACACAGACTTTCAGTGGTAAATCAAGTACACTAAAAAAAATGGTTTCTTTCCTAAATCTGATCACTTGATGGCGGACAATTTATTCAATCACTCATTTGCTCAGTTTCTCACACGGAAAACAAGGCACACCAAGAGCTTCTGCTGCTATAAGAAGACTTCAATAGATCAAATTAACTTTAGGAAAGGACTAACATTGGCAAAAGGTACCATAAACATTAAATTCTTAATAATATTTCTTAAAGCTTTAAATGAAAAATGAAATTAAATGAAAATGAAATATTTACAGCCATCAGCCTAAAGAAAAGCCATATAAGTCTATTCAGAAGGAATAAGATACACCTATGTAAGTTCTTACAGACAGTTATGTATATATATATTTACTACACAGCTTTATTTTGCTAATTCAGGTTTCTAAAAGATAAATTATGTACTGCAAAGAAAACAAGACAAACAAATCTCATCTTTTCCTTATGTCGATTATACATACTGTTACGGAAAACATCTTCAGGAGGCAATTCTACCATTTTTTCCTCTTCGCAAGGAAGTAAGTAAGTTATCTATTCAAGATAAACTAGGTAGCAAGTTTGAAAAAAAAATAGTAATATTCTTTTTATAGAGAATGCTTCAGGAAATAAGGATCTGTAACAGATCTGATTAAAGGCTCACTCTCAAGGCAGAGTTTGAACCACACATGGCACTAGTAATAATCTGCAAATGATGGCACAGCCTGGCCTTTTGCTTGAGCACCTCTCAAGACTGGTATTTATGGTTCAATGAAACAAGTTATATATGCACAGCAGTCCTTCCTGCAGTGGTTGCATCGTCTGTGGAGATTTATAAAACTACATAGTTCACGTATTGGTGGCAGGCAAACACTAGGGATCTACATCCCACTAGTTAACCCAGGAGAGCAAGAACAGACCCAAAACAATTGACCACGTGAGATTCCTGGTGAATATACTAATAATTACCAAATTTCCAATAATGCTAAAATCACATCAGCTGTTCTTGACACGATTTTGTTTGGTAGGTCAACTTTTCACTTGTGACATTTGTGGATTATTTTTTAACCAGATAAACAAGGTTGAGAGAATGTGTGAAAACACTAGGTCAGGTCATTCTGGCAAGAGAAATGTCCATAACTTTTGATACTGAACCCTAGTCACGCAGTTAACAGCTGAAAATTCCTGGCATCTTTGATATGTTATTCTGCCTAACAGTATGAACACTACTTGTGTGATTTTTTTTTTCCTAAAATAAATATTATTATATATAAAAAAATTACAATATATTAGAATATTTTCCAGTGGTCAGGAGTCAAAAAAGATGAAAAAGGAGAAATGGATTTGCAGTGATTTTGGTTTAAGGGCCTGACTGTGCATCAAGAACAAAGCCCATGTCTTTGGTCGGCTCCTGACAAGATCAAGGAAGAAAGCTTGAACTTCAGAAACCAATGCTACAACACTGGTCCTTTTTACCTGGAGGGGAACTTCTGCAGAGGAGGCTCTCACATATCCTCTGGCTACACAGACACAGCCCATAAGATACCTAAAACATAGCTTGAAACTTCACCTGGCCTTGCTGGGTGAATTATGGGATAGATGGACAAATGCGTCTTGCTCTGAGATAATTCCCCATGCTACACATTGTCAGTTTGCTGTATCAGAAAAACTAAGAAACATCCTGTCTGAACTGAATATTTGTACAATGTGCTGTTATGGAAATCAGTGGTGCTTTCAAAATATCACTTTTGATACAGAACAGTAGAGAAAAGCATAATGACATGGCTGAATACAAGTTGTATTAAGAAAAATGAGAATAATAGGATGGCTGTATCAGGTTAATCTTGTATGAGATATAGATCTAAAGGTGGTAATTATCTGTGAAAAAGAATTGATTCGGGCTGTTGGGTCTATTATCAACGAACTCTGTTAAAGTACAGTTTGTTACTGTTAAGGAGCAATTAAAACATCCTTGTATGCAGTGCCCCTAAATACAAATTGTCAGTCTGCAATAGAGCAAGAAAAAAAGAAGTAGGGTTTAATTTTTTCCTATGTTATATATTTACATCTGTAAAATAAATCTAAGTAGGTCTTTGTTAGCATGTTAATTTAAAATAGATTTTCGCCTTTTTACAAGTAGGGCAAAAAAGCATGCATCAATGAAACAAGTCTTATAGACTTAGAAGAATTATATTCACATATGTAGTGGGACCAGCGGTATTTAAAAAACTACTGTTTACTAATGTAAATGGATACACATGCCAGCAAAGAACTGCATTAACTCATAACATCTAAAATCAAAAGTCAATTTAACTGAAAAACCCACTTCTCATAACAAAAGCCATTTCTTTAAAACCCAGCTCTCACTCTAAGTAAGCATTTTTTGAGGGAGAAGATACATACAATTAATATGAAAATGAAGAGCCAGATATAACATGGTGCCAGATTCTCAGATGGTATTAATTGGCACATGAGTGCTTGCTGTAATCTAAACCACTTGTATCTTTGGAACTGACTCTTTTATGAATATTTACAAGGGATTCCTGCCATTACTTTCTGTTTTTTCTCTAAGTGCATAGGCCACACACCCAAGTATAACCTAGAATCTTAACAGTAAGCCCAGAAGACTTAAAAGATGTTTTCTTATCGTTTTGCATGTCTTCTGTTCACTAGCCAAGAACGCTTTGCTCTTTCCTAAGTCCTTCTCTCACTTACATCAAAGTGAATGGCAGTATTACATCTGTTTTCAAGAAGCATGACCACCTCCTCTGAAAAGTTGTTTGAAAAACTTCCTGAACGATGGGTGGAAGGTTTTATCCTTCTTGGACTATATACCAAAATCTGATGTTATCTGCAGCAAAACTCCAGTTATGCCAACTTTTTCCATCACTATAAATCAAGATGAAACATTTTGTTCTGGGTCAATTCAACAAATAATCTGTTTGACTGAGCTGCCAGAATGTAGTACATGATCCATCCTCAGCAGTACAGCCCAGGGGAAGCATTCAGTCAATGAAAGAATGTGTATGTGTGGGATATATAAATTGAAAAGCTTGAAAAATAAAATAGCAGCTCAGGCTGATGTGCTTTAACGCTGAAACAAATCAAAATTCTGTGTTTTTGCAACCTATGTATTAAAATCTAAATTAAAACTTCTTTTGACAGAAAAATTGCTGAAATGGACATTTTTGGTGTGACAAGTTCTTATTTTTTTAACATTTCATTAATAAACACTAAAAGAGATTCAAAGAGACAATGGATCCCAGAACTGCTAGAATTACAGCTTCAGTTCACCCTTAGTAAATAATTCTTTGAAGTAGAAACAAAAATGTTTATCTCAATCTTGATATAGTATACACTACCATACCATCATGTAAAACTGATAGTGTTTGGAATCATACAAGTAAACTTAATATTTATGATTATTAAGCAGACAGATAGCAATTCATGATATCTGCATATTATCATGTTGATTTTTGTCTTCACATGTATGTCCTTGCATTTTTCACCAGCTTAGCCATGAATAGTTTACCATAACACATTTATATAGGAGGCATAATGAATTTTTCTATATTGTTAGAAATTAAGAGTACCAAGGGACTTTGTCTTCACAACTGAAATGACAGAAATGACACTCAAATTTCACAGCAGATTATAACAGGGTTTTCTGCCACTTAATATCAATCATAATCATTTCAAGACTGTTCCTTGCCTTGTAATAAATTATGTAAAAACTTGTGTTCAGAATAAAAACTCTCACTAAATAAGAAAGTTAAATTTACTTCAATCAACAGAAGTCATATCTGGAAAAGTGAGCAGGTAACTTCCGAAGTGACACTAGAATATTTTACCACTGTATGTTTAACTAATATGCTATATAAAATATGTTTAACTAATATCCATCAATGTGCCTACTATGGAGATTGTCTAAATGAACATTTTCCATGTGTGTCCCCCTAAGTGTCCCTCACGCCTGTGTGTCTGTAATACTGACAGTTATCACCTCAAGAAATATTTCAGCATTTACAAACTAAATTATAAATAATTAAATGCAGTTCAGTGATATAAAAAGGCAAGATTTACAGAAAAGGGCCCTAACTATTACTTAACTACTCCCAGGAGCTGGGAAAATGGACAAATTTTCAGGCACCCAAATACTCCTTCAGATGTAATAGGGAGAGATGCAGTACACTGATGGCTAAGTGTAGATTGGACACAATTGATCTGATCTGGTCTTGATTCTGTTGACCAGTTAAACATTTAAAATAAATGGTACTTGATGAGAACAGGCAAATGTTAGCAGGGAATTTTACTTTTCATAGTTTGACATTAGCATTATTTGATAGGCACCAACATAATTTTGGTAAGCGTAAAAACCAAGGTCACTGTCCCCACAGATTTAACACTTGGTGTATATCAGCTTTCATTCCTCACAGCATTTTCTGTCATTTATTTCCTATGTAGAAAAACATGGTTATGTGACTAGAAAAATCTTTATCTAACAAAAAACCCTATGAAGCATAGAAAATGTGGAGACAGATTTCACACTTCCTTTGAATTATCTAAACTAGTCTGTTTATGGTTAATGTGAATTACATTATGTTTGATTTCCCATGACATAACAGAGCATCACTTAGGCCACTACAATTATCAGAAAAGGTTGCATTCAAATGGCAAGAGAATTAAAATATTCCCCATTCTTTTTAATCACCAAAGAGAAAAAAAAAATAATTCAGGACCTTGTATCAGATGGAGGTACACCCAGGTTGGAAGCATCCACAGACCTCTGTAAGCTAGGACTGATCTGGTTGCAAGCTGTTGAGACCTGATTAGCAGGAGGAGAAATAGGTCCCAGCCGTTGAACTGTCATGGGACTGCTGGTGACTACTAGATTGTTGCAGCTGCCTTTTCCAATGGACTTGTACTGGGGTCCATAACCAAGACCTCCTAAAAATAAACAAGGCAGGTTAGTATCCAACTCCCATGGGTGAGGACGCATAACTCATGTCATTTAGCACAAGAGGCTTGAACTGAGCATATTCAGTTCAAACGAAACAGGGGAACTATGCAGGATTTTAAAACCTTCTCCATACATGAAGAGCATGCTTTAAAGGGGAATAAATTAGGCCTGTTAGCAAACAAAGACTGAACTACCTGAGTGAAAGGCCTAACATCATGGCTAAACATGACTAAGCACCAGAAAAATCACTGCCAGAAGAGTTTGGTTAAACAGCAGTTGAGGGATAGCAAGCCATAATGAAAGACTACTGCTAAACTCTCTCTGATGATTGGTAACAATGCGAAGAGGTGGAAGAGCACAACCACGCCATAAATCTCACCCACCACCAAAACCCACTGCTCTTAGCAATTGCAAGCCTTCCATCCTTCCTAACATTAGCCACCTAAAAAGGGGGATTGCTGGGATGCATGCAGTTGACACCCCTGCTGTACGTCTGGTGTAGAGAAGCTCATGTGCATTTCCATCACAATCAGAGTGATTTATTGCTGAGATCCAGCATTCCTGAGATGCCTGTGGAGAGGAATTTAAGCTGAATCAAACCAAAAAGTATCCACAACATTCTCTAAAAGACCACAATCTGCTTTTAATCATTGCTGCCATGACTCAAGTTGATGGCTCTTACGCAGTAGCATGGGATTACAGAGGAACATCACTGCACATGCTCTGTGTACTTTGTGTCCTAGTTTGGGTCCCAGGTCATGGTGTACAAAATCTCTTTGTTTTAAAACACAAGATGAAAAGTTAAAATGTAGGTCATGATCTGGAAGTTGTTTGATGTCTAGCAAATTCTCACAGCTGTTGAAAATGAGTAATTACATTATCCATATTTGTATCAGTTTCCCTGTGTTCAGACTCTTCTGAAGCAGGACAGTAAGATCAAGATGAATATCCTAAAAAGTATTTCAATCATTTTAAAAAATTCTTCATCCACTTTTGACTTCCACTGTACAACTCAGGCTACTTCCTTAAAAGGGGGTTCAAGTGAGTTGTGAACTTCGTAAAGAAGTAAGTCACAGTATTCATGGCCCACACAGTCATAAGAAGAAAAGCCAAATCCTTCAATCTTCTCCAGAGCAAATATCATTATCTGTAAAATTTTCACCCTAGAAATTTCAAATGATACAATTTCTTTAACAAGGGAACAGAAACAGATGTGTTAGTTTCTCTTTCAGAATTCTGTGGTTTCTTTTCAAATCCCTGTTTTTGACTTTAAGAAGCATGGAAGTTTGCCACATATATAGTCCTCAGTCTACCAGTATCCAAAGCATTATGTAAACTCGTTTATGGATGTTACAAGCTGATCTCATGATTCACAACCAAAACTTACTTAATGAGATGAAATATAGCAGCTCCTTAACAGTCACAACTACTTAGAAAAACACATGAACAATATAGCATTCATTTATGCTAAATTTAAAATGCAAAAGTACCTCAGACTGAAATTTATCAAGAAAGATTGGAAATCGTCAAAAACAAACATGTAAGTAAAATTCTTAGTATTGCTAGGAAAATTCCTAGCATTTTGGGCACCAGAAAAGCTTTGTGAGATTGATCTCTCCAGAGCTGAAAAATCTAATCTAAGGCATAAGAGAATGTTTTCTTCTTTTCTTTCTTGTAATTTACATTTTGTAAACATAAGAAGAAATCTGAATCAGTCTGAATCAGCATGTTATTCAGCAAGTTGTTTTTCTGATACTACAGGATGCTAAAATGTAACAAGACAACAAAATTAAGCAAAAAGCATAAGATATTCCTGATAATAATATGAATACTTGCTCAAAAAGGAAGAAAAATAAAAAGAAACTTAAAAGACACTTTCACCTCATGCAAATTCTATACAGTACACCTACATACTTATGTATACTGTGTGTGTATAATTAGATATTTTTTAGAAAAACGGTTTCATTACATTGAAGCAAGGGATTTCTGCACTGAGGTATATGAAGAATAGGGAAGCATGATATAAGAACATAAGAAAACCAATTGCTATTTGATACAGAACACAGCCGTGAAATTTGCACACCCTAAATATATCACTTAATTAATAAAATACAAAACTATTCCTTTGCCTTGAAAAAAAATCCACAATTTTACCACAGAATTGTACTAAATACATTCTGATTATTTCCTGGATGATAACATAACACCTTTCTACATAGCCACTCCCAACATATTTTGGATAATAAACAATAATATCCACATGCATTGTATCCAAAAAGAGAAAAACAAGGAAATCAAGAGTTGTGCACTAGTCTGATTTTTGTTTAAAGACAGGCCATCTGACATCTAGTTGGTCCAGATGAAAATCTGAAATCACAGAAAGAGATTGCTGATTATAGATGGTGGAAAAGGAGCTCCTTGGAAAAACAAACCAACCAACAAGCATGCAAACAAACAAACAAGAACAGAAACAAAACTGAAAAATACAGTAGGGCCAAAACCAGAACTGTTAACATAGAAAGTTATGCCCTCAACACCCTGTGGTTTTCCATTGTAATTGAAGGTTCTGTTCTTATCCTCAGCACCCTCAACAATGCTAAGAACTTTTAGAAAAGAGAATTTCATGTGTCAGGATCAAGTCCAAAGATACTTAATTGGCCACTGAAAGCAGCAAAACAACAAAAAGCATATTTTTGAGAGATCTTTTTAGTGGGATGACAAATAAAATTGGTGTAAAAATTTGCCTTAGGAAACATTTGCCTGCAGATTTCTCTCAGGCAGAAATGGAAGGTAAAGTTTTTGATCTTTTTCTCAGTAATACACATTTGCTGCTATAGGGCAAAATAACATTTATTCCCATGACAAAATAAATAAATAAACAAAAGAAGAAGACAGAATGGTTATCAAGAAATAATCTATCATTAAATCATAAAATTTTATCCATTATCATTATCATCAACTTCTCTTCTGACCTGCAGGTCCTCTAGCAGCATTAATTTGTGCGGAGCTGCTGAGACAAGTCAGGGCAAAGGAGATGCAGCTCGTGCTGGCCAGGAGCTATCTGCGGCAGGACGAGCACCCCTTGGAGAGGTGGAACACAGACACCTGCTTTGCGCAAGCCTGCTAGGAAGAGGCAGCCTCTCAGAAAAGGGGTTCAAAAGTGCCGATTAAATTTGAATTGGCAGAAGGAGCATGTGCTGGATCAGCATTTGGCATCATATAGCCACTGTGTCAGAGGAGTCCTCTGTCTGGATTGGCCGTTATCATTGACCTATAGCCTAAAAAGTTAAGATCAATGGATAGATAAAGACAAGATAATAGAGGTGGAATTAATCCAGAACTAAGAAGCATGCCATGTATTCCATATAAACATATTACATATACATCAAAAATATACTTTGTTAATAATTAACAATAATATTTAACAATCATAAACACTAAAAATACCTTATGGAAATATTTTAATCCATTCACTTCCTTTTTCCTAGCCTGCTTATTTTCCTCCTTGCTCTACAGTTGGTTAATAGGTATGCTTCCTTCATCTATGATATGCAAAATTATTTCACTGCATTCTTCTGAAAAACTTACAAAGAATGCAGAAAACCAGAATTAAATAGACTAAACAGAGTTTTGTATGAAATCTTCTTATTCATATCACTCTTCTTTCTGGAGGAGAGTCCAAAAGATGAAACATTTTTAACATATTTTCTTCTCATGCATATTGATTGAAAAACTTAATGTCTGTGTCCCCTTCAATAGCCAAGACTAGTGGCCAAGACTAATGTTAATTCTGGCAACAAACTCATCTTGTAATATGAAACTACTTTACATAACCTTTGTAAATCTAGACCACGTTTCCAATGAAAATGATATTCAACAGAATGATAATAAAAACATTCAACAATGACAAAAAAGTTTTGTTTGTTGTTCTGAAATAAACATGCCAAATACATAATACCAGATCAAATTCAATCAACTGTTATGTCAATAAATTCTGCAATAATAGAGTCAATCAGAATGAAATAAATCTACTAAAAATTATAGTTTCACCTGAACATCTGTCCTGATTATATTGTTAGAACACCTAGAAATAATAATAATAGAAAAGGAGGCAAGGGTGATTTTTCCAGAGGCTTTTGTTTGTTTGTTTCTGTTGATTGTGCAGTATGCAGAGCTTTAAAAATGGTCAGCTTTAATGTTCTGCAATTTCCCCACCTTGTATAGATTTTGCATTTACAAAAACAAGTGAAAAAAAAAACATGCTCAGAAGAGGACATTGAAAAAAAATGAACATTTGTTAAGACTGTGTCCACATAGATCAGACTATAAACCACCACGATCCTTTTGAATGTTCTTCTACCTTGCTGAATCTTGTGGATACTGCAGCCTCAGGCATCCCTTAGGCCACATGCCATCACATCCTTCAGGATAAATGACTATGAGGGAGTTAGTACCCTATATCCTTGAATCCAGTTCCTTTCTTGTAATTTCTCAAGCCAGTTAAGAGGCACCACTGAACACCAGCTGGAGAGAACAACCACACAGCAGACCCTTTGAACACCCCTTTATAAAATAAAAATGCTAAACTGGAGCTTCAAAAAAAAAAAAAAAAAAAAAAGAGAAATAGAAAGACAGGGCTAACTTCATCTATTAATGCAGAATCGACCAATCTCTGGATCTGCTCAGGAAACTGGTCTTTTGAGAGACCTTGAGGCTTACAGCTGAACTACGCACAAGTCTCTTACAATTTAGATTAGTTATGACCAACTTCAGTTACTCAGAGTAACTTAGTTAGAATCAGTACAGTATTCAATCTGGAATTTCAGGGTATAAACTAGTTGGTAAGCTGAGGCTCAAAAATTGCCCGATTAAGATATTTTTAGAAAGTATCATGAAACATAGTAGTTTATCAACTACGTAGACACTAAAGAGAAACAGTCTTGGCATTTGTTTTCTTTAAAAATTAAAAAAAAAAAGTGACTCTATA